TTAATAGAAAATAATATAGTACATAAACTCTGTGGGCTATGATTTTTGTCATTATTAGCTTCATAGTTAGCCAGTTTTCTCCTATAAAAGGTTAAACAATGGGCAACCAAACCATCAACCAAAGTACATCTACAAGCTTGAGGTTATACACAGCCTATGTGGCCGAGTGGTGTTCCCATAACAAAATAGCAAGGGCGCAATTCTATGCGCGTGATAGGAGTAGAGGACTGAAACATTAACTATGTGAATGAAGCAGAGGTACAAATGAGTGGCCTCAGAAACATTAACTGGCCTTGTGTCCTGGACACAACCACTAGATCTATCCATCCACCTAGCTATTGCTTACTACTGTAAGCACAGTTTGCCTCGTCGGGTACATGGCTCTCTTGAGCAGATTCACAGTACATCTCTAGGCCCTTTTCTTGAGGTCCTTGAAGACCCTCCCTGTTGTTGTTTTTTTAAGAAAAATGAGTAGTGTATAAAAAACTGTCTTCCGCAAACTTTAAAAAATTCGGAAACAACTACACGTGCAAATGTTTGACCCTACATAATTTCACTGGACATGTTGTATTGTGGTGAAGAGATAAAGTAGCAATAAGTCACCATTTTAGTGTGTTCTTTGCACAGTGATAAAGTGCATCAATAGATATAGAGACCAGAGTGACTTTCTCCTTTTTTGAAAAAAAAATGCACAGCTTTCACAAAAATTAGTTCCTGCACAAAGTATTCACCTTTAATCCCAATAGCATGCCCCCCTCGCCCTCAATCCCCCGGGTAATTTTTGTAATAATAAAATAAATTGTTCTTTAAGTAAAAGGAAAAAAGCTACTAGTTACACCATTGAATTATTTGCCGTCCTTACATTCTCCCAGATTATCGCTATCCATATCATCTATAGATTCCATTGCATTTTTAATGATTTTGCTAATTCTCAGTCTATAATTAACATTGAGCTGCGGATGGGCTCATAGCCAGTGGTGGGAGCGCAGTAGCGTCTCCCTGCCTGTGCGTATTCGAATACTATGGTTCGCAAGTGTGTCACGCCCTTCTTAATTATAAAGCCACAGGGCCTCCTCCCTGTTGGTCTAGTCTTTTTTAATTAACATTGAGGTCCATGCAAGATTTTATATTTCTGAACTCTGAGACCAAACACTACCCTTTTTGCACTAGATGGACAAATTTAAATTACATGGTGAACATTGTTCTAGATCAGTATGAATATGTTTGTAAAACCGACTAAAATATTAGCCGATTCTCAATCTACCGAGGCAATATTCTTTTAGTAGATTAGATATTTTAACACATGAATATTTTATATAATCAGATTGGTTTGTAAAATTGACTGGGAATGAGTTGAAAAATATTCATAAATTTACTTTTTTTGTGAGTAAAATAAGTAAATTTATGAATATTTTTTAACTCATTCTCATAAATTTACTTTTTTTGCGAGTAAAATAAAGTAAGTTCATAAAATTACTAAAAGGAGGCGCGGGGCTTCACCGGATATCAATTCCTTTGAGCGTTGCTCTCCTTCGCACCCCTTTATGGCGGCATACAAGCGAACCCAACTCTATTTTTTTTATTAACAGGAGGATTTCGGGGGAGCAACTAGTTAACGAGCGCTCCTTCGGGAGCCTCGCAACGATCAGCGCCACTTGGCGCGCTCTCAGTCATTTGCCACGTGTCGCGCTCTGGACGCTCCCTTCGAAATTTTTTATTTTTCTGCACGTGTTTTCGGCTTTTTAAACGGTTTTTTTCGGGTTTTTTCGACGTTTTGGTTTTCCCCCGGTCTTTCTTAGCTTTTCGATCAAAAAAAATTCCGAATTTTTTTTGCGCGAAAAAACGCGTTTTCTTTTTTTCTCTTTCGCGAAAGTCACGGTTTTTCTTCCGCGAGAGGCACGGTTGCGCTTTAGCGAGAGTCACGGCCGTGCCTTTCGGAAACGAAAAAAACGTGTTTTCTGTATTTTTTTTCTTTCGCGAGAGTCACGGTTTTGCTTCCGTGAGAGGCACGGTTGTGCTTTCGCGAAAGTCACGGCCGTGCCTCTCAGAAAGGAAAAAACAAAATGCGTTTTCTGTTTTTTTTTCTTTCGAGGGAGTCACGGTTTTGCTTTCGCGAGAGGCACGGTTGTGCCTTCGCGAAAGTCACGGCCGTGCCTCTCGGAAACGGAAAAAATATGCGTTTTCTGTTTTTTTTTCTTTCCCGAGAGTCACGGTTTTGCTTTCACGAGAGGCATGATTGTGCTTTCGCGACAGTCACGTCCGTGCCTCTCGGAAACGGAAAAAAACGTGTTTTCTGTTTTTTTCCTTCCACGAGAGTCATGGTTTTGCTTCCACGAGAGGCACGATTGTGATTTCGCGAGAGGCACGGAAGTGCCTCTTTCGGAAAGGAAAAAAAACCATGCTCCTGGTCCGATTTTTTTCGCCTGGTTTTTTTTGTGAAAAAAAAAGTTCGTCAAAACCTATCAACATGGGATCTAGTTTTGAAGATCTCGACGCGAGAAATCCAACGATGAAAACAGTTCAAGATTTGGACGCACGATTTAAGACATAAAACGTTTTGAATAAACGGATCTACAAAAGAAGGAAAAACTCTCAGTTGCAACAAAAAAGGGGTGCAACCAAAAAGGGGTGCAAAGGAGAGCATCGCTCGAAGGAATTGATGTGTGGGCATGCGTCACACCTCCTGCTGCATTTTTTTTTGCTGGTACCTTACCAAGCTGGCCGCTTGGTGTCACGCCTCCTACTAACACGTGTTGTTTTTGCTTTTTAGTAAAATTTATGAATATCCATTAACTAATTCTCAGTCAATTTCACACAGGGTAGTGAGCGTATGGGCCGGGCCAACTAATGTAGCGATGAGACTGCCGGTTTTCTTTTCTGTCTCCTGCTTGTTTTGTTTGTTTGTTTTTCTTTGCTTGTATTTCATTGTATTATTTTGTCTCTTTTCTCCACTTTCTTCCTCTTTTCTCTTTTCCATTTCCCGATATTTTTTCTTTTTACCTTTTCTTGAAAATTTAAATTTTTCGAAATTCACAAAAAAAACTCGTCGTTTTTTAATTCGTGACTTTTTGGGAATTCATGAATAATTTTAAAACTAATAATATTTCTAATACACTCAACATTTTTTAAAAATGTTGAGAACATTTGATTCGTGATTTTTTTTATAAACTTGTAATAATTTTTTTAAATTAATTTTTGTACATTCATGATTTTTAAAACATTTTTAACTTTATGAATATTTTCTAGAATTCACAATCATTTTGATTTTTGATGAACATTTCTTGATAGATGTCCTATAGAGCTAATGTTTTCTGCGAGTGATATTTCTAAGGGACACTCTTTGGTGTGTTCGATTTTGAAGCATGAATCTTAAGGTGGTGAAATGCGGCAATCCCCGCGAGGCACACTGTTCACTCCCATGCGCCTTTCCAGAAATGACACAATTGTTTTCTCCCATACATCATTCCTAGGGAACGACCTGTGCGTACCATGGCACCCACTAGATGTAGCATGTCAAATACTTGAAAAATGTATAGTAGCCACTCTTCAAGGCATGGCAATTCATGTAAATATGGGTAAGCCCTGTTTTTTCTTAGTCTGTCAATTCTCTCTGTTGCAACATGACAACTCCTTGAAACATATGACCATGTCTCTATTGCAGCATGTCAAAACCCCTAAAATGCATGACATTTTAACCGTATCATATGTTTCTTTAACACATCATATGTTTTTATTTTTAGGCATGAAAAATTTCTCCCTTTTTTTGGCATGACAAATATCTCTGTTACACCATGACAATTCTGAACGTTTCATTGGAGTGTTTCTTTTAGAGAACACCCCTAGTGGCGTCATTCGCTAGAATGAGCTTCCCAAGGGAATGTTCATCCGTGTCAAGGGCTTGACAAATGATAACTTGGAAAAGCGTAAATGGGAAGGTAATAAACGGTGCTGCTTTTGCAATCAGGAAGAAGTAATAAATCATCTATTTGTATTCTGCCCACTTGCTAACTTACTGTGGCAGACCATTCATGTAGCATTTAACGTAACTCTGCTCATCTCGGTTACACATTTATGTGGGAATTGGTTAACTGGGATTGAGGCTAAAACTGCGGCACATATTCGTGTAGGAGTATGTGTATTACTTTGGGCCATTTAGAATTGTTGGAATGATGTTGCCTTTAACAGACAAATCGTCACAAATTTTCTACATGTTATCTTTAGGGCGTCAGCTTGGATCCATACATGGTCATTACTTAGCCATGTGGATCACAGAGAGCTTATGGATACCGGTGCAACCGATGAAAGGTGGTTGCACGGGATATATACAACCAGTTTGGATGGAGGTCCAATAATAAAATATGTGTTTAGTCATCTTAATCTATTTTCGCCGGTTGTGGCATATTATTTTTTTGTAATAGTTTTGTAAGACTTTTAGAGACCTTGTTCGGAACCTGGATCTTTAATAGTATGGTTGTGTGCATCAAGAGATGCAAAGCCCGGGGTTTTTTCTTCTTTTCTATTTTTTAAAAAATAATCCGTGTCAGGGTCTTTCTTTAGGGAACGTCAGCCCCTTATTAGGATCCTATCTTTAATTTGAATATTTTTATTTTTACTGTTTATATGTTTTAAAAATATATTTAAAAACCGGCTGAAAAAAAAGGAAGAGAAAAAACTGAGTGAAAAACATTTGTTGGAGTAGCCTCCAATATTGGGATCCAATTGGAGTGTTTTTGACTGACTCTTTGTGCTTGCTCCCCAACAGGCCTCCACGAGCTCGGCCTTCTTCCTTGCCGTGTTTGTCTCCACGAGCGAGTGACACCAGCCAGCCCACGTCGCGACCTAAGCCCTCGCCGGAAATCCCCCACTTGCGCCGACTCTATCAGTTACGGCTACCAATCGCTCCGCCCTTCCCTTCTCCTCTCTTCTCAGCGGCAGTCACCAGCGCCGCCGCCGCCGCCGCCCCCGGACGCGAGCTCCTCCACCGGCGTCTATCCCGAGGCATGACCGGCGCTGCCCCCGCCCTCCTCCACCACCACGGTACCCCGCAGTTTCCCCTCCCCTCCTCGACCCGCCTCCCACCCCACTGTTTCCGGCTACCCGTCTACATGCGCAGCGCGCGCCGTAGGGTCCAGTTTCGTCTAGGGTTTCGGGATTTCCGCGGCGCGAGGAGCGGCCTGTCTGCTCCACCGCCGCTGCCGCCCACCGCGCGTTTCCCCTTGTCTCTGCGGCGTCCAGCAGTGGTACACTGACCCGTAGCAGTGGTAGCCAGGAGCAGCAGCAGCAGCAGCAGCACTGCGGTGCTGCGCTAGCAGTAGTTAGGCCGCTGCGTACGCACCCCTGTCGCAGAGAGGCTCAACGTGTAGGAGCTCACCCTTCTTAATTGATGGCAGAATCATACATGTGCGCGCTCCCCTAATTGTTATCACTGGTGAATTTTGAGATGGATCCTATATGCTTACCCTACTAAGGGGCGGTGCTAATTCGGCTTACAGAGAGAGTGGTTTGGGACAATACTCCTATCTCTTTTATGTTGGAGCATTTCTGAATTTATGTTCTCCCTGACAGCATGCCTAATGGACAGGCAGAAAAATGTGGCCTGGTTTACCTGCAATAACCACCTCGTTAGGTACTAAGAGGGGATTTGAATCTATTTCTTATCCTCATTCCTCAGCTAGCTGTAGTGGTGTTTGCTTCTGGCCCAGATTATGCAAGTTGAGCTGCTTTATTTAGATTTATATATGCCAATCATGTTGTGCTCAAGGCAGTGTATATCAATTTGCCATGTTTATTCATATATGAATATGATAGCCGATTACCTATTAAGTGGATTGGGGGTTTATAAACCACTCAAGTGGAATATGTATGTATGCAGTATGCACATTAGATGGCATGTGCAGCTCACACTTCCTGCAGTTCTACAGCAACTGCCTAACTATTTTGGGGGATCGTCCCTTTAGATGCCTTGCACTGTCCTCTCTTCCTGGATTGACTTAAATGTTGCCCGTTAGATGTCTGCTAGCGCAAATTTTCCCGCTATCTGAAATCTGAACTTGTTCAAACTGGACACGAGACACTTGGTTTCCCAATTTAATTCATACAAGACTGCTGTTGCTCGCTATTTCCGTGTTTGCCGCTAGGAGCAGGCGCTTGTACTCGATTGCACATGGTGTAAATGTGCATCTCTTCTGCGTCGTTTGGCTTTAATTAGGATGCATATGTTAGTTGATTCATGAATATGCACAGAGCAACTGTATGGCGTTCTCCTCCACTAATCAAATAGCTCTGTATGTATTTTAGAGATCGACCGACAGGCCACGTTAGCTGGCTCATACTCATTAACCCGTCTTATGATCTGTTCAGGATTGAGCTGTGCCTGGCAGCAATTCATGTTGTGATACACTCCTCTTTTATTCATGACTTACATTTAGGGATGAAAGTGACTGGAATATTTGTTATTTCCCATATGAGCTACTTCTGAAGTGCAGTCCATTTTCTTTCAGTTGTCAAATGCCTTGTCTTTTCCTTGAACGCCGCAAGTTACCTTTATGCATGTGTCTATGATGAAGTGAGTTTTGCCCATGTGGATCTTGATATGGCTGTTGCCAGTTTGGTCAAAACTTAAAAGTGTCATTGTTCGTAATGCCATTGTTTGTTTCCTCGAATATAATGTTTATTTTCAAATTTCACCTCTGTCTGACATGCTGCATACTTTCCATCTTAAGCTGCCTATTTCCCATTAGTCCACCAAGCTTCTTCCAAAGCAATAACTGATGTATACTGTTTATTTTTCTGTCCAGGAGTTTCAAGCAGAGGGACACTACCTGTCTATCATGGCAATTGCAGATTCGTCCCAGGATCTTGTTTCCTCAGCAAATCAACTATTTTGGGACCATTGACTGTGTCTTTGGTTTGTGGTGCTAGCCCCAACAACCATAGACCAAGGAATCCAGATATCTCACGACAACAGAAGAGGGGTTCATCATCAAGGGGGAAAAGCAAGCCATTCCAAGAAAGGGACGACTCTGAGAATAATGATGAATTTGATAGTGATACAGTATCCTCCAAAAATGGACCACCTATGTCTTTGACAAGCAACTCACGCCCCCATGCAACATCAGCTCCAGGGGAAAGGGAAAAGGAGATTGTAGAGCTATTTAAAAGGGTTCAAGCACAACTGCGAGCCAGGGGAAAAGGCAGGGAGGACAAGAAGCCTGAACCTGCAAAATCTCAGGGTGAGAAGGGAAGTGTCGATTCCCTTCTTAATCTGCTCAGGAGACACTCGGTGGACCAAAAACGGAAGAGCAGCGATGAGAAAGAACAGAATTTTGATCAGACATGGAGAAGCAGTGATTCTGGAAACAAGCAAAGTTCAAGGATATTTGGCACGAAGAACGACGTGCAGGAAGGGCAGAAGCCACCTCCTGCAACCTTCCAGAGACCGCCTTCAAGCTTCAGGCGAAGATCTCCTGTCCCTGGGGTTAAGTTTCAGCTTGTTACCAATCCAGAAGCTGGTGCCAAGCCTGTCGTCAATGGCATGACCGATGCTGTGCTGAAAGCCAAGACGCCACTGGAGGAGGAGACTGCTCAAGATGAACCTGATTCAGTCTCCCCGTACGAACCCGACTCTGTGCTAGCACCAGAAGACGCATCTTTGGATGACTTTGTTGTTTCAGATGATGAGTCAGACGTGCTGGATGCCGATGAACCTGAAGATTATCTGGAACCGTTGGATGATGTCGACGACATTCCAGATAGCAGCGCATCCCTTGATGACAGTCTGGAAGGTAGTCCTTCCGCGGAAGCTTCCGACCTGAGCTCGCTCAAGGTCACGGAGCTGAGAGAGCTGGCGAAGTCTCGAGGACTCAGGGGCTACTCGAAGATGAAGAAGGGCGACCTGGTCGCACTACTGAGCGACGCGTCCTGATCCGCTGGTGGCGGCAGTCCCGCTCGAGCCCACCGTTTTGCTTCCCTTCTGCCATGGCCATGTGCCCGAACGACCCTCCATTCCTATTTCGCCAAGACCAGGCCCTTTTTCTAGGTAGAAAGTTGTAAATGAGCAAGGTTAACTTTTCTCCGTTCATCGCCGCCGCGGATCTGTTGCTGTCATGTCCTAGTTTCTTTAGTTGATTAGCCGGACTCTGTTAGGGTTAAATAAGCAAAAGCTGTAAGCCGTGCTGGGGCATTTGTTTCCGTGCTGTACCGCTGGTGTTGTAGGCAAGGCAATCTTGGTTTCCCTCCTCGATTCGGTTGGTCACTCGTCAGTGAGCGTGCAAGGCTGCAGCGGCTCGTTGATACTGTTCTGATTTCGTTGTGCTCGTATCAGTCTTCGGTGCATCTAACACGGTCTGGATGCATGCTGCCATCCCCTGGTCGATTACCATCTCTTTTATCATGGATATGAAAAGGATACCGGCACTTCATGGATCATGGTAATTCCTGATGCCTTTTCTCCTTTCTTTTTCTCTGCAGCAGAGGCTGGCCGGCTGGCATTTGGCAATACGGCTCTGCGCGCCAGGACTGCGGCTGCAACCTGCAGCTTTCCTCGTGATGAAGAAAGCAAAGCAATGGAGTCGATGGCCTCGTCAGCTCAGTCGCAGTCCATTATTGATCGGCTTCTGTTCCTTGTGCTGGCCGGCCGCCAAGGTAAGGAAGTAAACACGCATAGCTCACTCAGCCTGTGATCCACGCACTCCTTGATCCATGCTGGTGTCTCTGCTTTGGTGTCTGGGGGCCGTCGGATCTGGGCGACTGGACGGTTAGTTGGCCAGTCTCACGTGCCCCTGCTTCCTCGTCCTGCGCTGCGCTGTGCTCCCAGGGCCTGGCTGGCTGTGTCTGTGACTCTCTGTGTGTGTGGTGTGAAGCACTGATTAAAGCTGCCCCATTTTGATACGGCCGCAACGGTGCATGGTACCCTCTAGCGGCAGCGGTGGTAGCCAGTTTCAGTCTCAGTGTGTGTCCTTAGGAAAGAATATATATAATGTCATCAAAAGAAAAGAAGAAGAACGAACATTCCCCGCAAAAAAAGAAGAAGAAGAATGAACGCACTCACGGATATATATAATGGGTGTGGCTAGGTCTCAATCGACTAAGATTTAATCAAGTCTTAGCCAAGTGACATAACATGCAATAGAGAAAAATAAAAAAACTGAAAAAAAATTTGCACGAATCTCAACGTAAGATCTTATGGATATATCATCGACTTAGACTTCGTTAAGTCTTAGTCGACTGAGACTTAGCAAAACTGATATATAATGTGCTTGGTTTGTCTCATTATTATTTTTTGTTAAGAGCTACCCTGACATCCAAATGCTCTGACATTTTTTTTCTCGAGAGTACGCCAATGGCATACCTTAATTTTATAGAAGGGAGAAGATTTAATTACAAGAGCCTACTGTGGGTGCGAACACCTACACAGGCACACTGGCACCTTACACCAAAGAGAAATAAAGGTCACTCTCTCACAAAACGATCTAAACCACCTACTCCAAATCTTGCGTCCCTCCACTCTTTCACCTCGTCCAAGGCCATGTCTACCAATTGTCACACCGCCCTCTGCTGTTGTTGTCTGTTGAAGACCCTCGCATTCCGCTGCTTCCATATCAACCAAGAGGTACCTATCACGAAAGAGTCGAACCCTCTTCGCGATTTTCCGGAGAAGTGTAGTCTTTGCCCAAACCACCAATCCTGGAACGTGTCGGTGGTGGAGGGGATGCTGATATTGATTTGGAGCCTGTCAGCACACCCATGCCAAACTTCCCTCGTATAGACACAATGTCCGAAAATGTGATCCACGTTGTCTTCTTCCTGTAGGCAAAGGTAGTAGGGTGACGGGTCGTCCTACAGCCCGTGTCTCGCACGTGGGTCGGACGTCCACAGGCGGTATTTGGTTGTCAACCGCGCAAAGATCTTACACTTCAAAGATGCCCAGCTCCTCCAAATGCACCCGTCTGTAGGAGATCGCTCATGACCTATACACAACCTCTTGTAAACCGACTTCGCCGTGTAACTGGTGGAGGGATCAGCCGGCCAAAGGAACTTATCCGGTACATGTTGGTCTCGGGGAACTGTTGCAATTGCGAGGCAAAGGTCGGCCACTATGAACTCAGTCATCTTTCTTCATTTTTTTGGAATTTCTTGAATTTATTTATAAATTTAAGCAATTTTTTGTTCAATCCCGGGCTCATTGAGCCTGGGAGCTAAAACGCCTCTATCAAAAACGAATATCCAATTCTGAGCCCGGGCCTATCTGCACCTGGTGAACAATAAATTAAAAACTAATACTAGAAAACTTTTAAAAAATTCAATTTTTTGTGAAGAGACCACTACTTTGTCTAGTCGCCTAGCTTTAATTGTTTCTTTCTCCTTCCTTGAGTTTCAGACATGGACATGCATGCATACATAATGGGACGAAACCCAACAGAAAGTGGGAAGAAAGCAATTTTTCAGGGGGGGTGGGCCCTTCCCACCTCCTAAATCCAATCCTAATCATCCATGTTTGCGTTGCTACTCCGCGAAGTGTGTAAAAAATCTCCCCGTGAGCCATGGGCGGTGTGGCAGCTGGTCCAGTCCAAGCACGGCACGGCACGGCCGGAGAAAGAGCAACTGTTGAAACTCATCTTGGAATTAAAGCAGAACGAACGGAGCTAGCTAGCCGGGGGTTGGCCGGGCTAGCTCCACTATTGTTAGGGCGCAGGGAGGGCGCGGCCGACACTGTTCACCGGCAGCGCCGTGCACGGGACAGGCAGCAAGCACGCATGCATAGTGCGCGCAGTAGTTCGAAACCGAGGCCGCGACTAGTCTACATCACCCGCCCGGCCGCGTATATCTGGACCATATGCGTGTGTCCATGCCAACGCCAATGCCAACGCCAACGCCATGCATGGGCGCATGTGTGCCGCTGTGCGCTTGCATGGGTGGGCCGGCCGGTGCACGCACGGACGGACGCGCATTTTATACATGCGTGGCCTCATCGATCTGATCCGCGAGGTGTGTGACAATCGGGCATGCATGATGGTTCTACGTACAGCTCCTGGTCTCGCGCCGCATGATGGTTCTACGTACGAATAAGCCACGACGTACGACGTGGCTAGCTACCTTGGCATGCAGTTGGCACGGCGATGTGCGAGACCGGCCGGCAGTGATCATACTCGTACGTACGTACGTGCGTACGTGCGTACGCTTACACGTGGAACGTGCGAGGCAGTGGGCGCATGGCATGCATGCATGCCTGAGGAGTTTGTCCCCCGGCCCGCATCTGATCGTCAAGTTTGTTTCCCCCTCACACCGAGACGGCGAGCCCCCTACGTACCTAGGGCACTGTTGGCGATGTCCCCGTCTAAGTTTAGCCATGGTCCTCAGTCCTCACGGATGGGACGACGCCGATGATGCGCAGGCAGGGTCATGCGGCCAGCGAGGGAGCACGGCGCTGACCGCCCGGCCGGCCGGGCTCGCGCGCTCCCCTGGTCCCCGGCCGTGGCGGGGCGTACGTACAGCGACCAGGGCCGGCCCTGGGCCATGGCGAGGAGTGCGGCCGCCTAGGGCCCAACCTGAGCAGGGGCCCATGCCCTGTGCATATATTATATGCAAGTAGGTATATATATTCCCAACAAATATTGTACTAGAACGCAAAAGAAGCAGCGCAGCCCATTAAGAGAGGAAATAGGCAGCTCAGGCGCAAACACAAATCCCAGAATCCCTTTCCGTTCGTTCTCTCCAAGAAAGACGCCGCCAGCTCGTTCGTCTCCCAACCGCCATCGTCTTCCTCACCAATTGATTGTCCCGATTTCCGAACAGCCCAGGACCCCAACTCCCGATATTAATCAATGTTTAATTGTATCATTATCTAATATAATGGATTTCTTTGGTTTCTCTCATCCTATAAATACTCCAGGGCTTTAGGCGGGCGGAGACGAGGCGACAGACACACCGCCCTTGGAGGTACGCAAGAGCAGCAGCCTGCAACATGTGCCGAAGATTCATAGACAGCCAAGTCATTGCCCATTCATGAAATTTCCGGATCTCAGTTCTCTGGCCTTGTCTATTTATTTCTGCTCTTATGTTTGAACTTCTTGATTCCTCTCTTTTTGTATGAAGATGGCATATTCAGTAGATTCTGCTGATTGTAGCATTGACTGAAAATGACTTTGCCAAATAAATTCATTTAAGCAGATGCGATTTTTTAATTTTGTTAGAGTTGTAGGTGTCTAGTGCTTATCAAATTCTCTTAACTGTTCCTGCGACTGTAGCAAGTTTTTACTGCGAAGGATATCTTGGATAGCATTGATCTTGATGCTATTATTAGCGATTTTGCATGGAAAAATGCTCGAAGGCGTTGTTTCTCTTTAGCATGCCATTCACTTGTGCTCTGTGTATTTTTCAGGAGAAAGGCAAAAGGCATACGGCAAACAACAGCTCCTCTGATTTTTGCTGATCTGGAGCTATAATTTCTGTCAAATTGGATCAAGAAATTAAGAAGAGTTAAAAGAAGACTTCTTGGTTGCTGGTTGTTGGAGCATGTGACATATACATGATGTATTAAGACCATATTTCATATCTGCTAATGAAATTTACACTTGCTTTTATTAACTTTTTGTGGTACACATAGGTGTGGAAATGAATTTTTAGTGTCTATTATAGTGTATGGGCCCATTATATGGAGTTCGCACAAGGGCCCCTCAAATGTCAGGGCCGGCCCTGACAGCGACGGAGCCACGGAGCGTGCCGGCCTGGGCTCGCTGCATGCACCGCGACTTCTTCCTCCGGTCGACCGATGAATGGAGTGGATGATTGGCGACGCACTGTGCGCGCGTAGGCCCCGGCCTTTTAAGGCCACAGTGAAGTCGGCGTACGCCTACACATGGTGTGTATCAGTGTATGTGTGTCGTGCTGGCCGCCGGCCCCATCCACACGTCGACGCACATAAAC